ACATTTTTTGTGGGTGGGTACGCTAAACTCAATTATCCTCAGTATTAATTTTATCTCTTTGTAAGTTTATTGGTGCGGTCCTCCAGAACAGTCCCAGTTTCTCATGTGGCCCCCTGGGAAAATTAATTACCCACCTCTGGTCTAAAGCAACCCACAGTGCTGTAGTGGAAATCTTTTGAGACTGGGTTCACTCATGCAGTAAGGACCAAGGGGCGCCTTTAAGAGTTCACATAACAAAGAAGCCTCAATTGTATGAATGTAATGACTCAGCTTCTGTGTGGAGGCATCGAGGACTATCGGAGCTCCTCTTTTAAGTGAACTGTGCTTGGTCCCTCTGGGAAGTGGCCTCTGTAACCCCTCCAATGAAACAAAATGTTCTACAGCTGCCATAAATAACAATTTAGTGGCGTCATTATAAGATGATAAAGGTATTAATGTCATGCTTTTAAACTGGGGAATACAATACTGCCTGTGTTTTGGAAGTTTTTCTTGTTTATAAGCCTTCTTCACACATGATCTCAGATCATTTTGAGAGAATAAGTTTTTTGTATAGTTGCAACACACAAAGCAGGAAATAATCTGATGCAGATGGCTTCACAATGCTGGGTGTGGTTTAGATACAGGTGCTCCCTGGGTAGAGTGTGTATCCAACCACTGGCGGGTAACACACTATGCTGTTACATGTGCTATCCAACATTACAAAGACTTTGTGTTCAGGATCTAGCAGTGTAAAGACCAGCTAACGTCCACTATGACTTTTTTTGTGCGTTTGCATCCTCACACTCAGCTGAAAAAAACGTTCTTGTAAAGAGCTGCAGTGGAAGTGAAGCGCAGCTGTAGATGTGGTTAGGAGCTCAAAATTTGTTTAATAAAATTATTTTTGACACTTACGTTGAAAACTTTGAAAAACTGAAAAATATGAAAATAAGTCCTTCTTAATTTTTATTCAGTGTACGTTTCCTGGGGGCAGAATTGGAAGTAACACACAAACTTCAAACGGGACATTAGAATAATTTCATGTTGGTATCTTTTTTTTTTTTGCCTGTCCTGTTTGGATCTTTAGCCATCAGAACTGTTGTCTGAAGGCCCAGAAAGATGCCAAGTGGATTTACTTTACCAACTGGATCATCATGGCCTTGCCATATTGGTCCATTTGATTGACCTTTATTATAATTATGTATTTATTTGATTTGATTTTCCAGTTGTTACAGACGGGACAGACATGACTGGGGGATAGGACAGGGAGAAAGAATGAAAGAAAGAGAGGGAGAGAAAGAAAAATAGAGGGGAGACGAGATGGTGAGAAAGGGGGGAAGAGAGAGAGAAAAAAGAAAGAAACACAAACAAAACACCTGGATCACCTGTATGGGGATAAGAAAAAACAGATGAGAAAACAAACAAAACAGAGCAACATAATAAATACAACATCATCACAATAAACTAGCTAACAGTAGATACTAAATATTACATGTTATTGTGCAGCACGCAAGATCGACAGCACAAAGTGTGCTCCGAGGTAGCAGCCAAGAAAGGTATAGTTTGTGTCTGTGAAAACCTGTGTGTACACCTGTGTGGATCGGTTTCTCCATGTAATGATCTGCTAGGGAGTGTGGGGAGCCATAGCCCCATCCCCCAGGGTATGAAGCAGGTATGGAGGAGATCCAGGCCCCAGACATCCAGAGGCCCCAGAATACGAGGACCCGAGGAGAACCACCAGGAGGACAACCGTGCCACCCTCCTGGGAAGAGCTGAGGAGAGCCCCAAATGTCTTTTCTGTGATTACTTTAAATCATTGGTGAGATGATAATTTGTTTTATCAAACTCAAATCAACTCACTCGCACAAAATTAGTTTAATTTACTGCAATCTCAAGTCGGGTGTCTCAGTACACACACATCCAAAGAACAAACAAAACAACACAGTGTTTGCACAGCGGTGCCATTAGTGGCACCATACTCACTGACTGATACAGACACTAGCTGAAGCCGACTGAAGCTGGGTTTGTGCAGCTGAGCTGTTGCTGCAGCTTTCCTGACTCACATTCAGTGCCAGTATGTCTCCTATTGAACATGTCTGGGATACACTGGGTTAGCATGTTCATCAGACGCAGCCACAACCAATCAACACAGCACAGCTGCCGCCTGCACTCACCCAGAAATTAGTTTTCTTCTGAAGATCTGGGACACTATTGTGTCCTTCTTCCTGGATAAATAAAGCTAAATCATTTTTAATACATTGTTTATTTATATAAACAGCTAAGACATAATTTAGTTGATTTTCTTTTTCATTTAAATGTTGAAAAAAAAAACTTGGTGGCAACACGCAAGTTTTCGATATTGTTTTGTAAAATCCCAAAGTTCCATGTAAAAGACCTGAGCACATGACACCAGCATGGACTACTTTCCTCTTTTTTATGATCTAATAACTGATATGAAAGGAAAGCTAACATTAGAATATAGAATTTTCTTATTTTTGGTCATTTTTGACTAGAGGCTGAAATAAAATCATCTCAATTTCAACGTCTCTCTGATCGAAACTGTTTAAAGCTGTTTCGGGTAGATCTCCTCATGAAACAAAACACTTTTGGAATTAAAGGCTGAAATAGGATTATTATATATTTGGTTTATTGTTTACAGTTTATGTAGGTTTTAAAAATCTATCAGTTTTTCTTTAAGTCTCAGCATCTTGCCAAAAATATTAACCTGTGTTTTGTCCCTTTTAGGCCTTCATCTGTATGTAGGCCGTGTCAGCTGAGCGAGCGTCACTGCAGGCAAACAAAGCTGAAATTCTTTTCGGACGTCTGCTGATGGTGCAGGCCTGGGCAGACGGTTGCTCGTCTGTAGCTCACATTGTTGTACCGCCATGCAATATGAGTCATCGACCACAAGAGATCTCCTCATGGACGCTCCAGAGCTGCCAACACCCACCACCAACGGCTGTCCACTGGGTTATAAAAGCCCTCCTACGTAGAAATAGTCCATGCTGGTAGATAAAAAGCACTTTTCAAAATGTTTTTCTTTCATGGGTAAGATTCTATTCAGTAAAGTATTATGTAACATCCATTAGAGAAACTACTGCTAATTAAAATTTTATTAGAAGAGCACAACAGCTCAGTCCAAGGAAAATGAAATATTTTTAAAGCACTTTCCTTAAACCTGCATGTATTTGCTTTGGTGTGATCCCACAATGTGGTGATTCTAAAAATAATTAGTGTTTCTGGCTTGTGAAAAACAGATTTATTAAGCCCAAGATTTTAATATATTATGATTTGCTTAATATGTATTGGTTTTGGTAAATTCTTCTTAAGAAATTTTTTTTTCTCTATTTAACTTCAGTGTTGGTGATGTTTTCCCACAGACTGTACACTAAAATTCCTTTGCGCACTTACCAACCAACAGGAACCTCAGAGATCCAGGCCAACCCAAGCCAATATGCCCCCTTAGGTGAATTCTGCTGATATACTTTAATTTACAAACATTCTTACAATTTGGTAATGTAAATCTTAACCACCCATATTGCCATTAAGCTATTGCAGTATAACATCAGTCTAATTATTCCTGTCACAGTACTTTAGTGTTCTGCAGAAATCATGGTACCCAGCATTACTAAGGACACTGAAACCATGACGAGCTTTTGCATCTAGTTTTTAAACATAACCTTATTTGAAAACTGCAAAACAAATGGATATGTGTTAAGGATATTATCTGCTCAAAGTCAACTGTCCCAATGATGATCAGTTCATTGATCCATTTCTGAACAGCAAAGTGACCTGAGCCAAAGGCCATCGTCAAATGACTCTGTGGCGGGGGCGTGGTTTGCTGGCCTGCTGCAGAGGAAGGGTGACACAGTGAGCTCTCTGGGCGGCACAGAGGCGGGAAGGCAACAGGTGTATGGGACTGTGTTTATGTCTTTTTGTGTGCCCACAGTGAGCTGGAGCAGATGATGCTGGCAGAGAGACGGAGTGGCTGAGTCCGAGTCGGGTGCCAAAAGATTATTTTCAAAATAAAAAGACACTAAGCATAACCCGTGTGTGTGTGTGTGGGTCCTGTGTCACAGACTACCATCAAAATTACAGTAGTTGCCTATCTGTCTTCAGTGGTCTGCTGCCAACCCTGCCAACCAACTACAGCTTCTTTCCTCACCACCACCACACTTTTTTCTCTGCTTTAAGAACTGGAATGTATCTTTTGTTTGAGAATGTGATAACTGTAACCCACATAATATCCTTAGGGATTAATAAAGCATGCTGATTCTGATAAGATTGCTTAAAAATTCCTTTTTTCACCTAACAAGTGCAACAATCTGTGTGGAAAGTGTTGTCAATCCTTTATTGTTATTAGGGAGGCTTGCTTACACATAAAGTAAGTACTTCAAAACTGATCATGTATAAATCAGTGGATGAACAAGTTTAACATCCTGAGTAAGTCACTGAAACTGGTAACCAATAGAAAACCCCTATCCTTTAAACAGATTTTAACTTATTTTCATTTATTGTGTCTATTATTATTTTGTCACAGTTTTACATTCTTAACCGTTTAGCTTTATTTATCTATTCATGTATGTATTTTTCTATGTATTTATGTTTAAAAAATTTACAAAGTGAAAAAAAAATCAAACCAACATTCGGTAGCCATCTTTGGTGTTTTACTGCCCCCTGCTGGGAAACCCCGTGCACATGCTAAACCTACGTCACATCCGCACAGTCTCCAGTTGAATTCAGTGGACGAACATGGCGGTGCGTTTGATTAATCTGCTACCATCCAACCTGAAATATGAAGTGTTTCAGCTTTCGCACACCAAGTTATGACTTTGAAACGGGTAGGTTACGTTACAATTTACTTATTTTTACATTAGTCGCGTTTTAAAGTTTTACACGCCGCGTTTCTTTTTCGTTTCTTCCAACTGGCTGCTTCACACACATGGCAGACTGAGTTTAACAACAGCCGGTGTTTCTTACTTCGGGCCCACAGGCTGAAAACATTTTACGGTGTTGTGAAAATCCTGCAGACCTTTCCAGCGAGGCTCAGCCTGCGGTGGCTCTGTCCTTTCCTGTTGTGTCTGCTAGAGAAATGTGAGGCTGTTTGAGGCCCTGCTGTGACCCATCATGGCAGGGTTATAGGTAAACCTCAGACAAAGTAAAACAGATTTTAAAGTGAGTGATTTTAGTCATTTTGGTTTTCAGTGTATCAAATAGTTGTCTCTGTACATTTGTGTTTATTCAGGTAGCTGGATTCTGCATTAATCCACAGGGGCAGTGCACGAAGGCTGGCCGCTGCCGTTGATGGCATATGGGTAGTGTTGGGAAGGTTACTTTTAAAATGTATTCCATTGCAGAATACAGAATGCATGCCCCAACGTTTCTTGCCAGAGACAGAGAGAGGCGTTGAAAGGCTGCCCCAACGGAACTTATTGTTTTCGGAGGAAAACACGAACACGGAGTACAGTCGAGTCTTAATAGCTTACTTACAACTGGGCTCGTCAGGCTCTCTTCTTGGCTGCAGTGGTTATTATTATATTTACATGCTTCCAGCTCCCGTTTTTCCTTGATGACAACTCGTACCTTTCCACTCGCCTTTTTCTCCCTCCTCTCGCTCACAGACCCATTACAAAGTAAAACAGATTTTAAAGTGAGTGATTTTAGTCATTTTGGTTTTCAGTGTATCAAATAGTTGTCTCTGTACATTTGTGTTTATTCAGGTAGCTGGATTCTGCATTAATCCACAGGGGCAGTGCACGAAGGCTGGCCGCTGCCGTCGATGGCATATGGGTCACGAGATGTGACCATGGTAATTTCTTCATCATAATCTTCCCTCTTGTAGTTGGTTTGCAGACCTTTCCAGCGAGGCTCAGCCTGCGGTGGCTCTGTCCTTTCCTGTTGTGTCTGCTAGAGAAATGTGAGGCTGTTTGAGGCCCTGCTGTGACCACTCGCTGCAGGGTTGTAGGTAAACCTCTGACAAAGTGGACAGGTTGTTTTGTTTTAAGTGATTTATCAGTTACAAAGCAGGCATTCCTTATTTCTGTGCATTACTAATGTTCACACACAGACGGCGTAAAAGACAGAAGCAGCTTCAAGGTGTGAAAAGATGTGTTAAACCTTCTGCAAAGAGACTTTTGGTCCTGATGAATCTGAAACCTTCAGTATTTCTAAAAAGTTCAAAAATACTGTCAGAAGTAAAGTTAGGTAACATTTCAGGCAAAATTCCTTGCTGAAGTTTACAGATGCTAATATTTGAAATGGATCTCAAACCACGTAAACCTCACATTTATCTTTCTCTGTGTTTACACAGGCGGCTGGCTTCTTCAGGAATGACTCATAAAGAGTAGCACATGAAGATGGGCAGCTGCCATCTTCAGTTCCAACCGCGTGGACCACGAGTTGCAAATAAGGTAATCTCTCCATCGCCATCTTCCGTCACGCATGACGTGAATGTGTAGGTGGTGTGCAGACTTTCCAGCGAGGCTCAGCCTGCAGTGGCTCTGTCCTTTCCTCTTGTGTCTGCTAGAGTAATGTGAGGCTGTTTGAGGCCCTGCTTTGACCGTTCACTGCAGGGTTGTAGGTAAACCTCCAACATTATTTTACTCTGTTTAAATTGAAGCTGAAGGCTTGTTGTAACACTCGAGCGTTGTATTTTAGCTTCTTTACTGAACCTGTTTTTCTATTTTCTGCACAGGAGAAACCACAGCATGTGTCTGCTGTTGATGTCTCAATAGACGCCAAGTGGTGTGTTCACCTGGACATCTCTTAACTGTAATAAGTGTCATAGCAGCAGTTCTGGACTAACACAAAGGCTCTTTCATTAAATCCAGAAGTGCGAATTGTTTTAAGGTCCTCTCACAGAGGCCTCACTCATTACCTACCACTAAATCCTGTGTTTACAAAAAGAATTACGTGTTTAACATCAGTAAGATATTTCTGTTAAATGCGCCATGTTTCAGCATTTAGACGTCAGGTGCAAATAAATAAACAAATGTTTATTTAGTGAACTTTTGTGTGTGTACGTTTAGTCCGGCTCAGTCAGGTTGTTGGGTGATGTCTCTGTTTGCACATAAACAGTTCTGTAAATGAAACCTGTGCTTCTCGTCTTTTCTAGCATGGCAGTGCTTCCAGAGAAAAGCTCTCCAGTGCAGATGGTTGTTGTTGCTCAAAGCGCCAGAGATTTAAGAGTCTGGCCTCACAGGTGAGAAAATGAATCCATGAATATCTGACATCTTTTTATTTTTATTTTTTAAAACCATTTTACTAAACTGTCTTTTTTTTTTTCTTCTTCTTCTTAAATTTGTTCTCTGCAGATTTCATCCAGAGAGCCGGAGAACCAGTTGATCAAGCAAAATAAATAAATATTAAAATATTTTTTATTGCACTGCTTTAGTAATGTACAGGTTGACTGTCATTTGAAGCACTTATTGGTTAAGTTGACTTGCAGATTTTGTGGTTAAATGTTGAAAGAATCTGTGACACTAAAGAAACTAGAAAAATGTATTTGCACAGAGATAAATCGATTATAATCTGTTCTACGTTTAAACACATGAAAGTGTTCAACCAATTGAAATGAATACTAGAGAAACATTAAAATAAAATCATGAAAATGGATTTTGTTTTATTTATCTTATTCCTTCGAGGAGCCGGAGCAGGTGACGTTGGGAAAAAGTTAAAACTGCTGGCTAAGGCTAAATGTAAATTCAGTAAAATTGTAATTCACATCGTCAGTAATGACACATTAGACCTGGAGTGACATGTTTAGCTGCTTGTTCTCCATAAATTGCTGGCTGTCTGAGTGGTGACCAAAAAAACCGATGTGGGCTTTATAGATAATTGGGAAACTTTCTGGAGGAAACCTGGTCTTGTTAGGAGAGACGGCATCCATCCTACTTTGGATTTTGCTCTGCTCTCATTTCTAGAAATCTGGCCAAATTTATTAACCCTCCAAAACGTGACTATCTAGAGTTGGGACCCGGAAGCAGAGTTGCAGTCTCACACGCCTCTGCAGCTTCTCTGCTCCTGTTATCCCGCCCAAAACCCCATCCCCTTAGAGCTGGGTGGAGAACTCCAGGCCTGAAGGTCCTGTGTCCTGCAGGTTTTAGATCTCACCCTGGGTCAACACACCTGATTCAAATGGTTAGTTCATTACCAGGCCTCGGGAGCACTTCAAGACAGGTTGAGGAGGTAACTTAACTATTTAAATGATCTGTGTTGAATTAAGGACACATTTGAAACCTGTAGGACACCTTGAGACCTGGAGTTCCCCGCTCCTGCTTTGGACAGAAAACCCAAACAGACTAAAAACCAGCAAAAAAAAAAAGGATTTAAACACAAAATATTACAGAGACAGAACAATACAGTAACCAAAACGGCACTAAGATGTAAAACAGTGAAATACGGATTATTAAACAGAGGTCTCTCTTCTCTGCAGAATTTGTTAAATGCACATTTATCTGTCTACTGATTGAATCTGTGATGGGTAACCAGCTTGTCTTCTTCTGGCTGCTCCCTTTAGAGGTGGCCACAGCAGATCTATCATACTGGTGGTGGCCAGAGGGCCCGGTGGCGCCAGTGTCCGGCAGCCTCACCTCTGTCAGTGCGCCCCAGGGCAGCTGTGGCTACAATGTAGCTGCCATCATCAGTGTGTGAATGGGTGAATCACTGAATGTAGTGTGAAGCGCTTTGGGGTCCTTAGGGACTAGAAAAGCGCTATACAAATGCAGGCCAGGCAGGCCAGATCTTTCCTCTGTCACACCAACATGTCCTCCTTCAATACATCTATTAAATCTTCTCTGTGGTCTTCCCTTTCCTCGCCTGCCTGGCAGTTTCATATTCAGCCTCTTTTTGATACCCTCCAGCCATAAATGGCTTGTGGGGTATTGTCAACACTGTGCTGGTCTGGGTGAAGGGACAGTTTGTGAATGCGATAACTGGAGAACGATTGGAGTTGATTTGATACCGTAGGTACATCTATTGAAAATCTTGTAGACTTCAAATCTCAGTTTTCTGATAAAGTCGTGACTGTGTTAACAAGGTGACAGGATTTTGAAACTAATACCAGAGGTGTATCTAGTAGGATGCTGAGGGGTATGATGGAGTATTAGGGACACATTAAGAAAAAAAATATTGAAAAAAGTACTATTTCAAGATAAAAAGTTAAAACGTGGGGATTACAGTTGTTATTTGAAGACAAACTGTCATGGCTGCTGATGCCCTCTGCAAAATGTTTTGTGTAGATGCTTTGTGTAGTGGGATTAGCAGCTGTGGAGGTTTGTCCCAAAACAACTAATTCTGCCTAAATGTTTAATTCTGCATTACATCCACGTGAGGGCGCCATTGCACTACATGTAGGCACTAAAGGTTAAAGACCTGTTTGACTTTAAAGCGTGACCGTGATCTAATTGGGTTTCTCTGTTTATCTAACACTAATAAATTGATATGACAAGTTTAATGGCTTTTAACGGCCTTTACACAGCAGTGAGACACTTTTAGTCTGTGAACGAGGCGGAAATGAACCAACACCTTTTTAAAGTGTAAATAAACCTATTTTAATGTATCCCAAGAGATTTCCATTTAAAACTGGTTTATTTTTAAGCTATAATTTAATTATTGGTGGTAATAAATTAGATGTTTTGCATGGTTTTCTGTGTAAAAAGTGTGTGACGGACGTGACGTGTGAGTTTCGATTTCGTCCTGACTTCCACGGGGCTGTGGAGTAAACAAAGCCGGTGTCATGAAGACAGAGAAGTGAGAAGTAACAGTAAGTTGTGGGTCGTCAGATCCTCGGTGTCTGTCTGTTTCTGGTATCTTTACTGAAACTATGATGGAGTAATCTCAAGAATCAGCAGGAGCAGTGTTCGTAAAAAAAAAAGTTTAGAGGGGTTTAAAAAATGAAGTTTTTGCTTTGCAGTGGCTGCACATCATACCTGCACATCTTTTATTCAGTTTTGCGGGTCAGTAGTGCTAATCTGCACATGTTTTGTGTCTATGACTGACCTCAAAGCGCTACTTTCACTTTCGATTAAACTAAGTAAACGCGACAGATCCCGTGCTTTGTCTCTCTGGCACCAGAAAGTAGAAAACAAGTGAGTCTCAAGGGGTTTCCAGCTCCTTCCTGGAGATGCATAAGCAGGGGGGCCTGGTTAGGCGGTTGGGG